TTTTTGTAGCGATTAAAACAATCGATGGGCTGGAAAAACGAGAGACAAATCAGCAACAGGTAATCCAATAGGAGAGCGTGATTTAATGCCCACTTTTTTGGGAATGCTACCCACAATGCCGTGCGGTCGAGCCGGAAGCTCGGAACTCTTGATCCCTGTATAGGCCCTTTCCCCGTTCGGGGCTCGGGCTTAAAAATCTAGCCAATTGTTGTGAAGCACTCTCCCTGACTCAGGTTGCCAGATCCATCCATCCATTTTCTTACGCTTCAACCGTTGCCGGGTCGCGGGGGCAGCAGTCTAAGCAGAGACGCCCAGACTTCCCTATCCACACACACTTCCTCCAGCTCGTCTGGGGGGACTCCAAGGCGTTCCCAGGCCAGCTGAGAGACATAGTCCCTCCAGCGTGTCCTGGGTCTTCCCCGGGGCCTCCTCCCGGTGGGACGTGCCCGGAACACCTCCCCAGGGATGCGTCCAGGAGGCATCCGGAACAGATGCCCGAGCCACCTCAACTGGTTCCTCTCGACGTGGATTAGCAGCGGCTCTACTCCGAGCTCCTCCCGTGTGACTGAGCTCCTCACCCTATCTCTAAGGGAGCGCCCAGCCACTCTGCGGAGGAAGCTCATTTCGACCGCTTGTATCCGCGATCTTGTTCTTTCGGTCATTACCCAAAGCTCATGACCATAGGTGAGGGAGGGAACGAAGATTGACCGGTAAATCGAAAGCTTTGCCTTTCGGCTCAGCTCCCTCTTTACCACAACGGTCCGATACAGCGACCGCATCACTGCGCAAGCTGCACCGATCCGCCTGTCAATCTCACGCTCCATCCTTCCCTCACTCGTGAACAAGACCCCAAGATACTTGAACTCCTCCACTTGAGGAAGGGCCTCTCCACCCACCTGGAGAGGGCAAGGCACCTTTTTCCGGTCGAGCACCATGGCCTCAGATTTGGAGGTGCTGATTCTCATCCCAGCCGCTTCACACTCGGCTGCAAACCGTCCCAGTGCATGTTGTAGGTCCTGGTTTGTTGGAGCCAACAGGAGAACATCGTCTGCAAACAGCAGAGATGAAATCCTGTGGTCCCCGAACCGGACCCCCTCCGACCCTTAGGTTGCCAGATATGCAACCTAAGGGTTAATACTCCCCCTGGACTGCCACCTTAACGTGGTGGGGGAGTTTGAGTACTCGGGTGATCCTGGGAGCTATGCTGTCTGGGGCTTCATGCCCCTGGTAGGGTCTCCCATGGCAGACAGGTCTCAGGTGACAAGTCAGACGAAGCGCAGTCCACAACCCGTCATGGATTGCACTGGAAGAGAACAAGTGACATCGCCCGGCATGGTGCAGCCGGGGCCCCACCCTGGAGCCAGGCCTGGGGTCGGGGCCCGAAAGCGAGCGCCTGGTGGCCGGGCCTTAGCCCACGGGGCCCGGCCGGGCTCAGCCCGGAAGGACGGCGTGGGCAGTCCCTCCTGTGGGCCCACCACCTGCAGAGGGGTCCGTGGCGGCTTGGTGCAGAGAAGACTGGGCAGCAGTCGAAGGCGGAGACTTCGGCGACCCAGTCCGCACACCCAAGGTTGCCAGATATGCAGAATAAAGAATTGTCAACATATCTATAAGCAACACCTTTTTCACAAACGACCCAATAGAAATCCTTGTTTTTTTCCTCGTTTGGTTAATGACGTAAGAATTATATTAAGACCTTTATTAGTTGTGCGGCCACATGGTATTTTACCAGTGAGATTAGCGCAAAGCATTGAGTTCTGGCAACCCGGATCACAGACTTTCTGATTGGTAAAACAATGGAGATTCAAAAAGTCAATGACAAGCAATACTTATTTTTTTACTGTGTTGCCGTGGCGACAACAAACACTCTTCATTCTGTGCTTATGGGAAAATTGTTAAATCTCTGAAAAGTATACCTTGCAAAAACGTCAAACCAGCCGCGGCCGAAATAACTCCCAAAATTGTGGTTATTTTCATAGAGAGGTGCGAAGTTCCCATGTTATCCAATAGAGACTGTATGGACACACTCACAGATTGTATGTGCAAACAGGAGCACATTTACAAACTCTGAATTGCACTAAACTTGACTCGGTTGTTCAGCTCCTGGGCCTAGGTCACATGACAGTGTGAACAATGACATTGGCCCATTAGCGCCCCCTACAGACCGAGTAAAGGTTTAAGGCAAGGCAAGGCAAGGCAAGGCAAGTTTATTTGTATAGCACAATTCATACACAAGGCAACTCAAAGTGCTGAACAAGATAGCATTAAAATCATAAATAATCACAGAACATTAAAAAGAAAGATAAAAATATAAAATCCCTCAGTTGTATGCACAGCTAAACAGCACAGTTTTTAACTTGGTTTTAAACATAGTCAGAGAGGAGGCCTGTCTCACATCCTCAGGAAGAATGTTCCAGATTTTAGCAGCATGAATCTGAAAAGCAGCCTCCCCATGTTTAGTTCTGACTCTGGGCACTAACAGGAGTCCAGTCCCTGTGCTCCTCAGAGTCCGGGCTGGTTCATATGGGACTAACATGTCACTAATATATTTTGGTGCGAGGCCATGGAGAGACTTGTACACAAGCAAAGCTGTTTTAAAGTCTATTCTCTGAGCCACAGGAAGCCAGTGCAGAGACCTGAGAACCGGACTAATATGGTCGTACTTCCTGGTTCTAGTCAGGACTCGAGCTGCTGCATTTTGAATGTACTGCAGCTGTTTTACAGCCTGTTTGGACAGACCTGTGAGCAGGCCATTGCAGTAGTCTAACCTACTGGAGACAAATGCATGGATAAGAATCTCCAAGTCTGCTTTAGACACTATGTTTTTGATCCTGGAAATGTTTTTTAGATGGTAAAAAGCTGCTGATGTTACTGATTTGATGTGGCTATTAAAATTTAAGTTTGAGTCCAGTATTACCCCTAGATTTCTGACCTTGTTTGAAGGTTTTAGGGAGAGAGACTGTAGATGACAGATGACGCTCTCTCTTTGTTTCTGGGGACCAAAGACAATCATTTCAGTTTTGTCTGCGTTTAGCTGAAGGAAGTTGTTTTGCATCCACTCACTGATCTGTTGGATACAGTGAAGGAGTGAGTCCACTGGTCCATGTTCTCCTGCAGTCAGTGAGACATAGATCTGAGTGTCGTCTGCATAGTTATGATAGGAAACTTCGTTTCTGCGTATTAACTGACCTAACGGCAGCATGTAGAGATTGAAAAGAAGAGGTCCCAGGATCGACCCCTGTGGTACTCCACAGGTCAGGGCCATATGATCTGAGACACAGTTTCCAATCTCCACAAAGTACTTCCTGTCTTCAAGGTAAGACCTAAACCAACTTAGGGCGGTGCCAGCGACGCCAACCCAGTCCTCTAGTCTCTGTAAGAGGATCTCATGGTCGACAGTGTCAAAGGCAGCACTCAGATCTAACAGGATTAGGATTGAGACTTTGCCTGCGTCAGTGTTTAGCCGGATATCGTTTGTAACCTTGACGAGAGCAGTCTCAGTGCTGTGGTGGGGTCTAAAGCCGGACTGAAACATATCAAATGAGTTGTTGTTGATTATAAGAAATCTATTTAGCTGTTGGTAGACAACTTTTTCAAGGACTTTCCCCATAAATGGCAGATTTGAGATGGGACGGTATTTGTTAAGTACCGTAGCATCCAGACTGCTCTTTTTAAGCAGGGGCCTGATGACTGCAGTTTTCAGGGCCTTTGGGAATATTCCAGAATGAAGGGACATGTTTACTATCTGTGTGAGTGAAGGTAACAGACTGCTCAGAACAGACTTTAGAAATCTAGTGGGTAGTACATCCAAGCTGCATGTGGAGGAGCTCAAACTGGAGATTATCTCTTGGACAGTTTGATCATTTACAGGTGCAAAGTAAGTTAGCTCAAAGAGCCTTTTAGGCTGTTGGATGGTTATCTGTGGATTGGAGACAATGGCGTTTTTGATGCCTTGAACCTTGTCATCGAAAAAATGTGCAAACTCATTACATTTACGTTTGGAAGTTAGCTCTAATGGCATCTGAACAGGGGGGTTTGTTAATCTATTAACTGTTGAAAACAGAACACGCAGATTGTTGCTGCAGCCTTCAATCATTTCAGAAAAATACCTTTCTCTCGTACTACGTAGCACCTGGTTAAACTCGCACAACTTATCTTTGAAGATCTCGTAATCAACCTGGAGGTTGGACTTGCGCCACTTCCGCTCGGCCCTCCGGCACTCTCTCTTTTGTGCCCTGACCGAGTCTGCTTTAGCCCACGGCGCCTTCTGTTTATTTTTCACTGTTTTAACCTTCACAGGAGCGATGGTGTCCAGAACATTCAAAACACTAGAGGTGACAGAGTTAAACAGTTCATCTACAGTAGAATACGATGCATTCTCAAAGTTTATCATTCCCATAAATAGTTCACCCGTATTTTCATTTATGTGTCTTCTTCGTACAGTTGCAGAGTCCACTGGTGGTTTGTTAGTGAAACACATGTCAAAAAATACACAAAAATGATCCGAAAGCGCAACATCGACCACGTTTACATTTGAAATATTCACCCCCTTAGTAACTAACAGGTCTAGAGTGTGCCCTCTGCTGTGGGTGGGGCCACTCACATGCTGAGTGAGACCAAAAGATTCAAGAACAGAACTCAGCTCTTTTGCCTTTCTGTCAATAACATTATCCACATGAATATTAAAATCCCCTGTAATAACTAAGCTATCAAAATCTGTGCATAAAACTGAAAGCAACTCCGTAAAATTATCAATAAATCTGTGACATGACTGCGGTGGCTTGTATAGGACAATGATTGTATTGGACTAGATTGTTTTTGTTGTATGGGGATAAAGGTAATCTAAAACATGATAGTAAAAAAATTACTTACAAAAAGGGATTTAAGATGGCGGCAGAGTGAGTGAGGGAGAGAAAAGGCTCCAGTCAATTTGTCTCCTAATATTCACCCTAACCCTCTCAAACTGAACCGCACTGACAGAACTTGAAATCATATCCGCAAACATGCCAAAGCCAACAAGAAGACCAACACGAAATGATCCCGATTCAGCAGAAGACGACATAGACCCGACTCCAGCTACCAGTGGCTATGCAAATGCTGCCCGGGAGGCTAGTGCTAACGCGAGCTTCCCCGCAAAAACAAGCCTAATCGCTAACTCTTCGGAGCTATCAACTGAGGCTCTGCTACAGAGGATTTCCATGGCTGTTGCAGAGGAGGGACAGCGCACTCAACAATCTTTGTTAGAGTCCTTCAACAAGTTCGAGGCCACGGTGGATGCAAAGCTAAACAGCATAATGACGCGCATTGACGCCGTGGTAGCCACCACCGACGCACTCAGCGTCCGAGTGACCGAATCAGAAGCACGCATTTCTGGGCTTGAAGACGGCATTGCACCGCTAAAAAAGCGCTTGGATGTAATGGAGCAATGCAATAAGGCTTTAGCAGACAAGGTACTGGACTTGGAAGGTCGATCTAGACGGGACAACATCAGAATATTAAACCTGAAAGAGGCCACTGAAGGAAGCGACCTAACTATATTCTTGGAAGGATTTATTCCCAAACTTTTAAAATTACCCGTCACTTCGGTGCCCATCGGGGCTTTGGGGTACCTGGAGATGGACGTCCGCGCCCGATCATCATCAAACTCCAGCGTTCGCGTGATGTCAGGGTGATCATGACTGCGGCAAAGCGACAAGGGGCCATACAACACGATGTATCCAGCCTGAGGATCGTGCCAGATGTCCCACCAAGCGTCAGGATGGCCAGGAGAGCGTTTAATGCGGTGTGCTCGGACCTTATTAAGAAAAACATACGCTTTCTGATGGCATACCCCGCGGTTCTGTCCTTCACCACCGACGGCATCAAAAAGACATTTAGAGATCCAAATGAGGCTGCAGCTTTTTTGAACATAAACATTGGATCATAATATGTTTACTATTTCTTCGGGAAATGGTGTCCGGTGAGTGACTATTATTCTCTGTGCCAATAATAATATAATTTGTTTGCTTAAGCTGGTGGCACATTGTGAAGGTTCGTTTAAAACAGAACACATGGCTGGGTCGGAAAGGGCGTTTTCAGAAGTTTTTAATTAAAAACTCTAAGTAGAAAAACAGTGGGAAATTACAAAAACCATATTTACAGAGCACAGTGAAAAGACTATCGGCAAAAAGGATATTTACAATAAATATGCACGACTTCAACACTAAGTCTCTTTTTCCATAGCTTTACACTCAAGCTCCTGCAGTCCACATTACCTTCTCTGTAATGAGTCACCACCCCCATGGGGCAGACAAGCACACCTTTTGTACCCTGCTGGCCCCTCCCACATTACAAATCAATCATCGAATAAAACATCATATCTACACTACATGAATATTTCCTTATGTTCATGATTTCATAATACAGTTCCGCATTTACCATAAAATACATTATGAGCTACACACTGCAAAGAGTCCAAATGTCCATGCAAATGAGCTGTGGTCACATGACCCACAGACAGGCGCATTTAATCCACGGGCTCCTTATGTCCGGGTTTGCCAAACCGCACCATGGAGACGCCACGACCACGCCAGCACAGGCGAGTGAATGACACATGTTTAACACACCATGCAACGCTTCCAAGTGTGCACCCTGAAGACGCGTTCACGCACGCTACATGTCACAACCACAGTCCCTAGCAGTAGTCAATGAATGGGCTTGGCCGTTGCGCGCAGCCACCATGGCACCGGGCGCACGCATCTTCACATGCGCTCCGTGGGACAGCGTGCTCAGGGACGGGCTCACCCCGTCACATTATCCCTCCCCTCTGGAAGGTTGACACTGTGGGGAAACCGTATAGTCCGCACCACCACGGACCAAACCCGCAGCTTGAGTACGCTGGCCCCTGGCGCGCTCCTCACTCTCCGGGAGCGATCCGGTGAATATAGCGACCGTGAGTCTCTGCTTGATTCTCACCCGGGTCCTGCTCCTCCCAGCTTCTGGTGAAGTCGCTGGGTCCACAAACTTAAGATGCCTCTCACGCGGTGATAGAGGCAGCGGGCCCCGGGGTTCAGCCGCTTCCAGTCCTCGGAGGCATTACGCGCTCCTCTTCCCTCCACTGTCCAGCCAGGCCGTCTCCCCGGACACCTGCTCAGCCACCGGTTGTGGCCCTGTAGCTCTCCTTGATCAATCAACAGACATTTCCACACTTCGTTCCGAGCCCTTCGTGTTTCCCGACCGCCATCCCACTTCTGACACCATATGTGAAGGTTCGTTTAAAACAGAACACATGGCTGGGTCGGAAAGGGCGTTTTCAGAAGTTTTTAATTAAAAACTCTCAGTAGAAAAACAGTGGGAAATTACAAAAACCATATTTACAGAGCACAGTGAAAAGACTATCGGCAAAAAGGATATTTACAATAAATATGCACGACTTCAACACTAAGTCTCTTTTTCCATAGCTTTACACTCAAGCTCCTGCAGTCCACATTACCTTCTCTGTAATGAGTCACCACCCCCATGGGGCAGACAAGCACACCTTTTGTACCCTGCTGGCCCCTCCCACATTACAAATCAATCATCGAATAAAACATCATATCTACACTACATGAATATTTCCTTATGTTCATGATTTCATAATACAGTTCCGCATTTACCATAAAATACATTATGAGCTACACACTGCAAAGAGTCCAAATGTCCATGCAAATGAGCTGTGGTCACATGACCCACAGACAGGCGCATTTAATCCACGGGCTCCTTATGTCCGGGTTTGCCAAACCGCACCATGGAGACGCCACGACCACGCCAGCACAGGCGAGTGAATGACACATGTTTAACACACCATGCAACGCTTCCAAGTGTGCACCCTGAAGACGCGTTCACGCACGCTACATGTCACAACCACAGTCCCTAGCAGTAGTCAATGAATGGGCTTGGCCGTTGCGCGCAGCCACCATGGCACCGGGCGCACGCATCTTCACATGCGCTCCGTGGGACAGCGTGCTCAGGGACGGGCTCACCCCGTCACACACATGATGAATCTGAGACTCGGGGGTGGGCTTTCAATCACTGTGGGAATAAAGTAGAGACATTTTTTTTCTGACAAACCTAAATTGAGTCTATGGCTATTTTATCTTCATTTCCATTATTATTACTGTTATTATGTATTATTATTCCTGCATGTGTGTGTGTATGTGTGTGTGAGCGCTTGGGTGTGTGTGTGTGTGTGTGTGTATGTATGTGTGTGTGCGTGCGTTGTATATGTTCGCAGAGATCAGTGGAAACAAAATTACTATTGTACACACATGGTGTCACCATGACCTCAGATCACTTTGGGTATGATTGACATGCATCGTACTAATGAAGGTGACGAGCAAGAGCACCAATACACAGAAATACAAAATTGTGAATATTACAAACCAGAAGATCTATTAAATATCAAAAGTGAATTCACATTGATGCATCTTATTAAGTATTAAACATCATGATGACCTCGTTTCACTGCTTGCAAGCATAGGTCACAAATTTGATGTAATAGGTTGTAGTGAAACTTGGTTAAATGAACTCTCATATGTAGACATTTTCAACTTAGATGGATATACTATGTTTTACAAAAATAGAACCGGAAAAAGCGGTGGAGGGGTGTGCTTTTATGTAAGCTCCCAATACTCTGTTAATGAACTCACATATCTAAACCTGCATGATGGTTTCTCAGATTCACTTTTCTTAGAAATTACACCCAAAAATGCCAAAAGTATCATTATTGGTGTAATCTATCGCCCACCCGACTCAAATTATAACACGTTCAGAGACCAATTTGAAAATATCCTAAGTACTATCAGCCAAAGGAACAAAAACTGTATTATAATGGGGGACTTTAATGTTGATACATCTGAAGAAGGGAAACACGGAACTGAATTTTTAAATACAATAATTTCCACATCATTTTTTCCCCAAATCAATAAACATACTAGAGTCACAGAACTCAGCAAGTCAATTTTAGACAATATAAATAACAAATATACAAAACGTTGAAAGTAAAGCAGGAGTTGTATGCTCTGATATCACAGATCATTATCCTGTTACTTATTATATGAAACTGAATAAAGGTGCACCACATCCATGTACAAGGAGAAAAGTAAAAGTCATAAACAATCAAACCCTTGCTGCTTTGATGCAACATCTCCAAACGAAAAACTGGGATTCAGTGTTTAACACCACTGATCCTGACGATGCATATAATTTGTTCATATCTGAAGTTACTAATTCCATCAACGTAACTATCCCTGAAAAAAATATTAAACAGAATAGTATACAACCTAAGCCTTGGATAACAAAGGGGATTTTAAAGTCAATACAGAAGAAAAATAAATTGTATGATCGGTATGCAAAAAATCGGAGCACACAAAATAAATGTATGTATACAAAATATAACAATATTTTAACAAAAGTAAAGAGAGCAAGTAGGCGGAACTACTTCACTGGGAAATTTAATCATGCTCTTGGTGATCAAAGGAAATCCTGGAAGGTGCTAAATGAGATCCTTGGTCGCGATAATAAAACATTAGTCATCCCTGACACTGTGCAGAACCCACAAAATACAAAATCCTTACCAAATGTCTCTAATGATTACTTTACTTCAGTTGGAAAAACACTATCCGACAATATCAACCCACCAGGGGGCGCCAATTACAAACATTACTTACATGGAAATTATCCAAATTCTTTATATCTCAAACCCACCTGTGGAGAGGAAGTGTTAACCATCATAAACAAACTAAAATTGTCCAACACAGCTGGTGCTGACGGTATATGTAGCAAAATTATTAAAGCTATAGCAACTGAGATCGCCGAGCCTCTTGCTTACATTATTAATCTTTCCCTAGTAAAAGGTGTAGTCCCAAAAACGTCTAAAATTGCAAAAGTAATACCCATATATAAGTCTGGGGAAAAAAATGATACTCAAAACTATAGACCAATAGCTATACTACCAACTATCTCAAAAGTATTTGAAAGAGTTGTGTATTCCAGACTTAGCAATTATTTAGAAAAATACAAAATATTAGTACCCTCGCAATATGGCTTTAGAAAAAACAGCACCACTTGTATGGCGATTTTAGATTTAATCGAAAAAATCAATGATGCGTTTGAAAAAGGAGAGTATGGTATAGGTGTCTTTCTTGACCTGTCGAAGGCTTTCGACACCATTGACCACGAGATTCTGCTCAGCAAGTTACTGCACTACGGTATCAGGGGAGTCGCTCTTCAGTGGTTCAGAAGTTATATCTGTGGAAGACAGCAGTATGTTCATGTGGACGGGCTGAACTCTGATACTAAAATCTTAGAAACTGGCGTCGCCCAAGGATCTATTATGGGACCACTTCTATTTATAATGTATATAAATGATTTTGTATTCTGCACTAACGACTTGCACAAAGTACTCTTTGCTGACGATACAAACCTCTTTACAGCTCATAAAAATATGAAAGAATTAGAAAAACAACTAAATTACCAATTAGGAAAAGTAGCTTTATGGTTCAAATTAAATAAACTGTCCTTAAATGTCAGTAAAACATTTTTTATAATATTCCACCCAATCAAACATAGATATAAAGATGGTAATGTAAACATCAAAATGGACGGAAAGGCTGTCCAAAGAGTTGATTCAACCAAATTCTTAGGAATTTATATAGATGAATCCCTAAAATTTACAAAACACATTGAAGAACTGGAGAAAAAATTATCCAAATACGTAGGTTTATTTTATAAATTAAGACATCAACTTCCTTTAGAGGCAATGTTAACACTGTACAGATCTCTATTTGAACCACATTTAAATTATTGTAATGTGATCTGGAACAACACCTATCCTACTTACACTGCAAAACTCCAGATATTACAAAAGAAAGCTATACGAGCTATTACATGGTCCACATTTTATGCTCCTTCAGACCCTCTCTTCCACAGATATGGCCTCTTAAAACTTGCTGAAATTAACTTGTATCAAAACGCTTGTCTAATATTTAGTGTTGTCCACAAATTAAATCCCAGACTCTGTGAGCTCATCCCTCTGACCACAGCCTCACACCAACACGACACAAGAGAGAAATACAAACTAAAAGGGAAAAACAGAAGACTAAAATCTACCAACTTTAGTATCTGCTGCAAGGGCCCTCGTATCTGGCATGAGCTCGACGAGGACATCAAGCAGTCCCTGTCATTAGCCATGTTTAAAAGAAATATCAGACGGTGGCTCTTAGGACGCTACTGTTCTGCCTGACTAAAACGGTAGCCTCTCTTGGGCTCCACTGATCTCCTTGTACTAAGGGAAGGGAAAGCACACATAAACGGTAAATAGAAAACAATAGTGGTGATAACACCTTATAAAATAAAAATAAATTTACAAAACAGTATTAACTATGAATATACCATTGAATTTCATAGAAACAACGATACCATGTATGACACAAACACGATCTCTGAAGGTGGGCGTGGGTGTGTGTGTGTGTGTGTGTGAGCGTGTGTGTATATATGTATTTTTTCATTTCTCTTCTAATTTTCCTATCTCAAATTTAACAAATCTCTGTTTCATGCCATCTGTTTTTGTTTGACTTTGTATTTTTGGACCCCGTACATAAGCTTGTGTAGCTTCCTAGGGTGTCCATTTCTTTTTCCCAGTGTCACAAAATTAGTTACAAACTCAATGTATGAACAAATGTGTGATATTGTGAAGAAGAATAAACTGAAACTGAAACTGAAACTGAAACTGAAACACCAAATCAGACACTTCCGTACAGGAAAAATGTGTTATTCTTTATTCTGAATAGGAGTCTCCTCAGCTGAATAGCGGTTCTCTTTTCGCGGTCTTGCAAATTTATTTGTAGCTTGATTTTCACTGTATATGAACTTGCAATGTTCATCCTGATTGGCTAAGGAAGAACCAGCATATTGTGTTCTGCGCCCTGATTGGCTAAGGGGTAATCTCTGTGCCGTGTTTCCTGTATCACAGCATTCAGACTGACAAATGTAAATCCATGTCTGATTGCTAGCAGTGTGACTGTAAGTGCTGTATGCTAATTTTCTCCTTGGCAAAACCATGGACTAAACTCACAAGATGGTTAGTGCTAAAAAGTTGAACTTCTGGACATGTTGCAACGATGACAGCAAAGAGGAGCACGGTGCGGAATCCAGGCCATTGGCGAGGGACTTTCAAAAAATTTTACAATTTCGATTTCAAGATTTCAAAAGG